GGCTCAGGCCAGCGCTGGGATTTAGTTCAATCCTCGTGGATTCTCTCAAATTTAATTCAGCGTTCAACAAAGTAAAACACATTGCAGCATAATTAGCAGAAAACAGCTCTCTTGCCCAGCCGAGAAAGCTGATGTTTGTTTCAAAACTGTATTCTTAATGAGCCAAAATGAGGTAAATTTATCTTTTCATCACATGTTTTATTTCTGGTTTGTGTGACTTTTGGAAAAAGAAAAAAAAAAATCATGTTTTCTCTGTCTCCAGCCCAGTGCTTGATTTCTTGCAAAATTCAGAGACTAACTTCCTCGGAAGCTTCCGGTGTAAGAATACAAGTGCCCATCAGAGAAAGAGCTTCACTTGTTTATACTTTTTTTCCCCATAGCTTTCAGGCAATTTAACCAAGCAGTTTCTGGGCTATGTGCAAAGGGTGCCTATTTCCCACCTTAGGCGTGCTAACCGGTTCCCCAAAATACACATTTTGCTTTCTGCTCTTTCTGCTTTTTGCCCAGCTGCGATGGGGCTGCAGCCGCCGCATCGCTCCAGGGCTTGTGGAACTCCTCCCGATTCGCATCCCGGATTTATCCACCCCCCGCTTTATCAGAGGAAAGGCATTACATCAGTACACAGCAATACAGGCATCTGAAACACTCAGTATTTTTAAACACACAAAAAAAAAAAGAAAAAAAGAAAAAAAAATACACTATCTGAAGGAAATGATCACTCTCCACAAAATTTCATTTTAAATGACCAAAATCCAGATGTTGAGATGAGCAAGCTAAGAAGCATCACTGCAATGAGGGGACTGAGCACTCCCACCTCTTTGCTGTCACCCATCCGTCTCCCTGTGTCTCTGATGCTTCCTTTGCCATTAAAGAAGCCCCTGAAGCTGCTCTGGTTCTTCCTGGAATTTGGTTTCTGGGTCTTCCCTGGCTCAGGGCTGGCCTAGACGTCGTCGCTCCTCTGCTGCCGGGGCTCGTAGTGTGGGGGCGACTCTCCGGAGCCGGAGCTGCCGTTCACGGCGCTCGTGGAGCTGCCCGCGTTTCCCAGGCTCCGCAGGCGGAAGGAGAACCACGGGATGAGCACGGGCGCTTCCAGCGCCAGCACCTGCAAGCCCTGCTCGATCTGCAAGCAGGCCTGCATGGCCTTGGGGTTGGACATGGCCGCCAGCATCTCGGGGTTCTGGATGCGCTGCAGGACGTCGGGCAGCCGCTGCGCCGCGTCCTGCTGCTGCCGCGTGGCCTCGGCCTCCAGCTGGGACCGCTGCAGCAGCAGCAGCGTCATCCACTTGGTGTAGAAGGCGCAGAGGTTCACGATGAGCTGCAGGGACTCGGTGACCTGGTGGAGCATGTTCTGGACGCCCCCGGCGCCGGGGGGCTCGGCGCCCAGGACGGGCAACGCGAGCTGGCGCGGGGTGACGCCGGGGTCCGGGTCGGTGCTGCTGGTGGCGATGCTGGTGGCGCTCTGTGATGGAGAAGGGGGCCCCGAGTGCTCCCGCGTCTCGGAGGCGAGCTGGCTCCTCCTGCACGGCCTCTCCAGGGACCGGTTTCTCACCGGGGAAGCCACGAGGCTGTTTCCAAACTGTTCGCGCACCGCGGTCCACGCCGTGTCCTGGCTCTCCGTGCCCACGCACGCCAACGCGCTGTCAGCTCCCAGCTGGGGCTCGTGGTTGCTCGCTGCTCGGTCCCGGCTCCTCATCTCCCGCAGCATGTCGGAGTTCTTGACCATGTCCAGCATCTCCTTCATGACGTGGGTGTTGTTCAGGATGTGGCCGATCTCCGGGATCTGCTGCGCCAGCTGCTGCATCTGCGGGTTGGCCATGATGAGCTGCCTCATGAGGTCGGGGTTGGAGAGCAGGCTCTGCGCGAAGAGGCTCTCGAGCGCCTGCACCATGACGGCCGAGCTGGGCTGCTCCGCGCTCCCGGCGCTCCAGGCGTCCGACTCGCTGGGGCTGCTCCGCACGGGCACCGCGGTGCTGCTGGACGTGCGGGACGCGCTGGGGGGCACCGGGGACGCGCGGGCGCTCGCGGACGGGCTCAGCCTGCCCTGCTCCTTCAGGAGCCTCCCGAAGAACACCAGCACCAGCTGGTTGCTCTGGCAGTGGAAGTGCTTGGAGACAACTTCCTTGAACAGCTTGACGGTGATGTTGTCCGGCACCATGAAATCCTTCTTCATCTTGGGCGTCTTCACCGTGAACTGGATGATGCGGGGGTTGGCGGCAGTGACGGAGGACATCGCTCTTCTTTCTCCACTTTCAACCATGGTCAGCACGGTGCTTGTGTTTTGTTAAGTGGTGATATTCTTACTGTTACTGTTCTTATTATTTCTACAGTTTCGGTACTTTCAGGCATGGAGGAGTGGGAGGTGAGAGGCGGGAACAGACCTGGCCCTCTGAAATGCCAGACTCCGTTCCCAAACCATCCCTACCAGCTCCCTTGCCCCTATGTCCATGCCACCGGATTCCTCATGGCCTCCCCCGCTCCCGCACCCCCCCTCCTCCGGGCTGTGCCCGATGGTCTGTGACATCATCGGTGACACCTTCAGCATTGGTGTCACCTCTCTGTCCCCACCGGGTCAACGGATCGGGAGGTTTCACGCTCTGGCCGGGTGGTCTCCGTGTGCGTTGGGATCAGTCGTGAGAGGACAGACCCCGCTCTGCTCCGCTCCTGTTGTCCTCTGCGCCGTCCTGGTCCATGTGGTGACACACAGCGAGTGCACAAGTGCCCTGGCGCGGGGACCGCGTCTCCTCTCGCTGCCTGAGAGGTTTCCATCAGGGACCTTGGCAAACAGCAATATCACCCATTTCAGGCATGCACATACGTCGATATAGAGGCCAAAGAAGATGTCCATACAACCTGTCAACCACTCTGGAAGTCAGGGATACCCCGGGAAAACACCCCTGCACTCCACAACTTCCATACTCCACGTGGGCATATTGTCCAGATTGGGTGAAGTCAGTTTTGGATGAACTGCTGCTGCCCTCTCGCGCTGCTCACAGCAGTTAATCATTCCCACTCTTCAAAATAGGCTTTTATTTCTAATCAGAATGTGCCTGATTTCCTATTTCCATTAGTTCAAATTCATCCTTCTCAAGAGTATTGCATTGGCCCTCAGCATCAGACGTTTCCTCCTTGACACATCCACCCTGTGACAACGATGCCTCTTCAGCTTTTTAAGAGTTATTATGATTTTGCACCCTTTATAGATTGAGCATTTTCTTTAGCACTCACATAAAATGTCTGTTCTCTTTCACTCCTCCCCAGATTTTCTTGCTATATTCTAAAAATACCAACCCCAATCCAGAAGGCAGAGTTGCAGCAGAGCTCTCACCATCACCCAGTTTTCTCACTCTGCCCTGCACAATCCACATTCACTTACTCATCCCCAGCAATCCAATTTAAGCTTAAAGAGGCTGTGAGTTATTATGGGCCCCAAACAGGTCAGTCAGGCCCGTCCCTACTGAGCCGAGCAATGGGCATTTTTTAGAAAAATAACACTTAAAACTGCACTGTGCTCACACCTGGATGGGAATGCAGATTTGTCATGTTGTGCACCATGCTGATCACCTGCAGATTTAATCTCCTGGGTTCATTAGCCAGCAGCCTCACATTTTGTACTTGTCACTCCTACAGCTTTTTAGATGCAATGTCACCTTGCAGAGGAATCTGTAAGCGCAGCGTATGGTAGGAGCTAATGGCACATACAACACCCATGCACACATATATAGGAAGTCACTGCCCAAATGCAAACACTAGATCTGCAGAAAACTCCCTCAAAAGCAAATCCAGGGAGGAAGAAGCTGACAGGGAAAGCGGCCAGTGTGCAAGGGCTGGTGGTGCTGTGCTGCACTGCAGCCATGAGGCTGCCTGCATGTGCGGCATGGAGAAGAGCTACGAGTGCATGGAGAAAAACTACGTGTGCATGGAGAAAAGCTGTGTGTGCATGGAGAAAAACTGTGTGTGCATGGAGGAAAGCTACATGTGCATGGAGAAAAGCCACGAGTACATGGAGAAAAACTATGAGTGCATGGAGAAAAGCTGTGTGTGCATGGAGAAAAACTGTGTGTGCATGGAGGAAAGCTGTGTGTGCATGGAGAAAAGCTACGTGTGCATGGAGAAAAACTGTGTGTGCATGGAGAAAAGCTGTGTGTGTATGGAGGAAAGCTGTGTGTGCATGGAGAAAAGCTACGTGTGCATGAAGAAAAGCTACGTGTGTACGGAGATAAGCTACGTGTGCATGGAGAAAAGCTGTGTGTGCATGGAGAAAAGCTATGAGTGCATGCAGAAAAACTATATGTGTAAAGCTATGTGTGTTTGGAGGAAAGCTACAAGTGCATGGAGAAAAGCTGTGTGTGCATGGAGAAAAGCTATGAGTGCATGCAGAAAAACAGCATGAAACCCAACAGAAGCACAGGGATTCCTGCTCGCGATCCCTCCTGACAGTGTTGAAACAACACGACACAGGGCCACGAGCTTTAATGTTGCAGGGCTTGAACACACGTGCTCCCTGGCACTGCCAGGAGATCTAATCCATGACGGCTGCTCCGGGATCGCGGCATCGTGGAGGAGCCAGGATGGAAGGGACCCAGATCTCCAGCCCGGCCTCCTGCACAGCTCCAAGGACAGGTTTATCCAGTCAATCCTGGACACCTGCACGGACAGGAGCTGCACAGCCTCTCTGGAGAGGGACCTGCTCCCCTTGCTGCACTGTGGCTGCAAACCGGCCAGCCCCGAGCATCTCTGAATCAGCCTTCACATCAAACCTGCAGCACGTGGACACAGCTGGGGGTTGCAGCAGGTCCGATGTCTCACTCAGTGCAAACAGCTCAGCGCTTTCCCAAATGGGAATGAGGGATTTTGGCAGGGACGTGGAGGTGCTGGGGAACCTGCCCTCACAGCAGGCAATTGGCAGGGATATTCACGGAGCTTTCCCTGGATCCCAGGGACCCTGAGCCAGGAGAGAGCTCAGTTGCTTCCCTCCGTCCCCCACCACCACCCACATCAGACCTAAGTCCTGATGAGAAGCAGCAACGGGAGCCAAGTGTCACCCATGGTGCATCCACCCTGCTGCTCCTTCCATGGGATATCCCCGCTTCCCTGGTCGCTTCTGCCGGGACACAGCCCCGGCTGTCCAGGTACAGCCTGTATCCTCATGACTTTGCATTGACCTCTATTGGATTACAGAGAATTATGGAGTCTAACCACCCTGTCCACCTCAATAGCATGTTGGTGTTTGCGTCAACTGGAAATCCTATTAGCAATGATTTTATGCTTGCTTCTACACTGCTGATGACAGTCACGCGTAGTATCAGACCCATGTCTAATCGCTGCTGAATCTACCCAGAAATATATTTACAAACCAGGAATATATTTAAAACAAGTACCGAGCTATCGTGGAATTATGATTTTGGATTTAGCTGATCTGTGTTCCATTAACGCCCGCTTTGCTTACAGTGAAGTGTGTTCTTGCCCATCAGAATCCTGTGTAAATCGAACACCTCAGGCAATGTTATCACCCAGATGTGGGAGCCACCAGGAAACAAAATGACTCTATGGAAATGAAACTCTAAAAACAAGCACTGATTGCCATTAATTACATTCTTTCCTTTTTGCACTTTATTGATCAAGTCTCATATTCACTTTTCAATTATTTGATTTGGAGTCAATGTCAAATGAAGCAGTTTCAGATTTCTCTGATAATCCTATTTTCTTATTTTCAGTATTAACCTTAGCACGTGATGGAAAGAGTATTTTTAAGGGCTTTTTTCCTAGCATACCAGGTGTCCCTGACCATACCCATCTCAGAAGTATCCCCATCTGGTCCATTTTTCCATCTCTCCGTTGTTTGTCGGTCACTTTCCTTTCTCAAAGCTTCATTTCTCACCCACCGTGCTGACACTTTGCCCTCTGCCCAGGATTCCACATTAGCCAAAGCGACTTTATTTCCCTGTATCAGCCTCAGGTAAAGGTCCAGGTCTGTAACCCCATGTGAGAATGCACTGCCATGAAGGTAGCAGTGTGAAAGGCAGGAGAATTCCCTTTTTCCCCCAAAAAGGGCTGGGCAACGGGACACTTGTCTCTCCTCCCATCTGCAGATGTTTGCACGGGTCCCCGGCAGCAACGTGCAGCCACCTGCAGAAATCCCAGTGGGATGTGAGAAGGGGTGAAACTAAAAGCCACCAGCAAGGAGACACTGTGCAAAGATCCAGGACGGGCTGTGACAGTGCCCTGAGGAGCAGCCCATGTTATGCCACCTTATGCAATATATCCACCCATCATAAACCAGAGATGAGGTTGGATTGAAACACAACCAGAGCTGCTTGTAAAGCAAGGAAGGGATTCAAAGGGCAGGGAAGGTTTATGGGCACACATCTGCAGGTTGCAAGTCCTTTCATGTCAGGTTGATGCAGAGGAGAACTCCCCCTCATCAGCTACATGCACAGGAGCCCAGCTTCTCCATCATCTCGGCCCAGCAACTTCTGCAGGTTCAGTGCCTCATCCTGGCCTTCAAAGGGCTTTCCAGGGCTATGCAGATGAGCACGGAGCAAGAAGACACTTGCCAACCACGTGAGTCATCCTTGCTCCTGGGCTGGATGGTCTTGGTGGTCAGGATCTGCTTTGGCTCTTTGTGAAGCCTGATGCAGAGGAATTTGGAAGCTCTCACCAGCAGACATTGCTGCTGCCAACCTTTTAGCCTCACCAGGGACTTTAGAAAAGAGTAACGGTTTTATTTTTGTCCACCGAACCACTCTTTTTCTTCTAGAAACCATCCAAGATCCTGAGCAGAGCACACCAGCGCCCAAGGAACTGCGCTCTGCAACTTCCCCAATGCTATGGACCTTTGGGAGCACTTTGAGGAGCAGCAGGAGCTCTAGCACATCAGGTC